TGTCTGATTGGCATCATGTCTTTTCATTTTTATAGATTTTTTTTCTTACCTCCACTGCACTCTGAGTTTTGAGGGGCCATACTGTTCTCCTTTACAAGCGTTACCTCCTTGTTCTAATTCGGATACTGCTTCTGACCCATTCATTCCGTTCTTGTCAGCCTTCACAGCATGAAATGTGATTCTTCTATTACTTAATTCCTCACTTTGCTCACACCCATTTCCACTTCTATTTTCCCATCTCTTTTCATTTTGCCCTCACATATTTTTCACTATGTGGTTTCCTTTATCATTATATACTCTACATGAGAGAGCCCGATCGAACCCCTCAGTTAAAAATAGTTTCTGACGTTATTTGTGATTTCTAAGATGTAGTCTCACAAATAACCTTTTCTCATCTGACTTCCATCTAACACGCTGACAGTGCTCCAATCTTGTTTTCTGATTATCCCATTACATCGCGCTTTCCCTTGCATTTAGTGGAAACTTGCTAGTAATGGGTCTGTTTGGATAGCACTCCCTAGTCATCATTTACAATTTTATGAAATTGGAAAAGCTTTTGCTTTTTGGAGGAAAAGAATGGGCTTAAGTTCTTATTTAAAAGGAAAAGCGTCAATTAACTATTTTGGTAATAGGTTGACTCATTATTCATTAGCATGCTACCTTAGAACCGTCTTTGTGATCTAGTCACATATCCTATGACAGAACAGTTTTTTTTTTCCTTACCAAGGGAGAAAGCTGTGTTCTGTCTTGAGTACTGCATTTTAAATTCAGGCTTGAAGAAGCAGAAAAACTCAATTGACTACCCACTGGTATAAAATTTTAGGAAAAATCATGACAAGTAAATGCATAGAATGTAACATAAGAATCCATTTACTGTATTTGTTGCTTTTACTGTAAAACTATACATTCACAATCAGTAATCATGCACAGCTTCTGACGTGTGCGTCTTGTCTGTGTGTGTCTGTGTTTTTTAGCTATGCTCTAAAAACATCCTACAAATAGCTAAATTCATATGAAATCACAATGCCCACCAGGCTAAATGATTTCCTGTTAGCTCTGATCATTTGGGGGCATGAAAAGAAATTTCTGGTGCAAATAATACCACTTTTCTCATGCATTCTAAGAACCTCTTATATTCAAGAGTAAATTTGCCTTACATGTATTTGTTTCAATTGACATTGTAAAGTACATCTGAGAATACGATATACCATATAATTGAGAGCTGGACCATCTAATAGATGCTGTGTGAGCTGTTTGAGAGAATGAAAATGTAATGGAATTCCTGTTCTTGGTGGTAGGAAATCACTGTGCTTTTGTTCTCTTCTGCAAAGGCATGCAGTTATATTCTGGTTGATTTCCTCTGGATGTTTCTTTAGGCAAGTCAGTAATTTCAGAGAAGCCAAATATGTCTTGCTTTGGGGGGAGTACAGTTTGGCTGTTCGGGCCAGAGTGTAGTTCTTTGGGTTATATTCAACAGACTTAACTAAAAGTTACGCTATTTTTCCCTACCTTGGGTAGTCCCGCGTAATTTTTTTTCCTTTCCTATTTTTAACAGGTGCATGAGGCAGTCCCATGTTACAGTGAGTGCAATCAGTATTCCTGGGCTGTAGAACACTGGTCTCCATGTACCGTCCACAATGAGCTGAGGTCCCTGCGCTGTGGAGGAGGAACGCAATCTAGAAAGATCAGGTGTGTGGAAATGGAGATATGTGGGAAATGTGGCAGTGGGACTTCTGTGTTTTTATAAAGACAACAGTGTTGCTTGTCCAAGTGCACGCTGATTTTTACACAGTATCCTCTGGCTTCTGCTCATCTTGAAGTATCCCTGGAAGCACATGTGCCCTGAGCTGCCATGTATATTATGGGATTCCCTCTGCAGTGCAGCCACAATCCTTAACGCTTCCTGCAAATGACTTCAGAGGGAAAACCAGCTGCATGGGAGCAGGCCCACATCCCTCCAGTGATTCAGGGCTATCACTGCTAACGAGTTAGGTGATCCTGACTGTGATGCCGTGCCTCTTTCTGTGGTTAGTGTAGTTGATGGACATTATCTTAATTTTGGATGTCAATACATTGAAAAGGTCAATTTAAAACCCCAACTACTGGCCTTGGAAACTAACCTGAGAACACGTAATGAACAGAGATGATCTATTTTAATATAAAAAGAACACATCTCTGAAAGAATTTAGTGAATGCCAGGTTATCTACTGGGGGAGTTTGTTTAAAATTTGTGTTTTGTAAATAGAGCAGTGGTAAGCAGAGGAAATCCTTGGCCTCAGTTCATCAAAAAGGTCTATTTAGAATGGATTTGGGAAGGAAAAAAGGATCATTTCATTACCAGCTAGGGAAAACTGCAATAAATGTTAGAGACTGACTAAGCAAAAGCCAAAATAGTCATCATAAACAGCAATCAGTATGTACAATTGAGACGAAAACCTAGTGTAGTCAGCTGTTTGAGTGCATGAGCTTTGTGTATCATTCGCTAGGTTTAAGAAGCTCCATTTCAAATGGATGGGCAGCGCTCAAATCACGTGACCCCCTATCCAGTTAACTATGAGATTGAAGTCAGTTGCTAAGGCAGAGCCTGCTTATATGGGTTGGTTGTTACTCAATTCCAGTGAACTTACTGTATTCAGTAATTCAGCCTGTACCCACCATGTCTGAGACTTAGTCCCAATGTTGAGAAATCACTGGTAGGCCCGTGGCCCGTTGGAAGACACGGCTGCTGGTAAGATTATAGAGGGGATCCTCATCACCAGCCCCGGCAAATGGCTAACGACAATTGCCTTTCTTTCCCTTTGTTCCTGCTCCCTCCCCTGGGGACGAGGTGCTCAGGCTGTCACAAACTTGGGCTTCTACCTCTTTCTCTTCAAAAGCTGTGTCTCCAGTGTCCTGTCCTCTCATGTCTTTGAGGAATGACTCACTGACCTGGCTTATCAAGTATTATGTGTAAATGAGCGGTGGCATCTCTCATTCTCATCCCAGCCAGGCGTCTTAGCAGTATTCAAGCAAAATCTCAGGAGAGAAAGGAAAGCTTTAAGAAAATAGGTTGCAACCGACAGAATTGTGGCAGGTTGATTGAGGAAAAACACCGTTGAACAAGAGGGCCTTTAAGCCAGACCTCTCAGCCCAAATGGACATAGCCTGATATGATAAAAAAAAAAATACACCTACCAAATATTATGTGTTGTGGGCTGAATGTGTCTCTTCTGTCCCCCACCCCAAAATCTGTGTATTGGAGTCTTAACTGGCAGTCCTCAAATTACAGCTGTATTTGGAGATATGGTCTTTAAAGAAGTAATTAATATTGAACAAGATCTTTGGGATGGGCTCTCATCCAATCTGGCTGATGTCCTTATGAGAAGAGGAGATTAGGACACAGGCACAGACACAGAGGAAAAGACCATGCAGAGACAAAGAGAGAAGGCTGCTCTCTCCAAGTCGGAGGAGAGAGGCCTCAGAAGATACCAGCCCTGCCAGCACCTTGATCTTGAGCCTCTCAAACTGTGAGAAAATAAATGTTGGTGGTTTAAGCCACCCAGTCTATGATATTCTGTTACGGCAGCCCTAGCTATACAAACTCACTGTGTCACATGCTTTATATATATATGATCACTTTTAAGTATGTGAAACTGATTTCCTGGATATCTTGCATCCCAACCCATTATCGGCCTTAGTGAAATGGTGTTACAGTGAATGCAGCACGTTAGCTGTTCTTTCTTGGAGCCTCAGAACTAGAGGACATCGTCCTGGTTCATACATGCCTGCATCATTTATTAATTCAGAAAATATTTATGAATATTTGTCTTCTATGTATCAAGCACTGTTCTAGGCACTGGGGAAACAAAGTGAACAAAATGAGTTACTGTCCTCAAAGAACATAGAACAGCAGAGAAAAATAAACACATAAATTAATATATAATGGACTGTCTTTGCTATGAAATTCCAAGATGGAAAATAAGATTGGATTGGCGTCATAGAGGATACTACTTTGGAGAGGCTGGTCAGCAAAATATTTGAGCAGAGGCCTGAAAAATATGAGAGGCCTGAATGAAGGTAAAGATCTCTATTAAGAAAATTCCAAGGGGAGGGAGTTTCCAAAGCAAGAACCTTCTTGGCTTGTTAGAACAGGATGGATAACACTGCATCCCATATGGCTGGTGCCAGTCCTCAAATTGTGTAGGCTTCTAAAATAAGGTAAAGTATATTCTTCTAACTGCATCGTGAAGCTATAGAAGGTTTGAGCCAGGGTGAATGCCATGTTAGGATCTTGCTGGATAGGATATAGAGAAGATAATTTGGGATGTAGACGTAGAAACAGGGATGATGTTTTGAAGGACATCCATGGTTCCAGGTGAGAGAGTCTGATGCTTAAACTGGGCATAGTAGTAGTAAGGTGGTGAGCAGGTCACCTTTGGACTGTATTTGGAAGGTACAGACCATAGGATTTGCTTATAAAGTGGTTGTAGAATATGGAAGAAAGGGGAATATCAAGGATGACTGCTAGATTTTAGGTCCTGAGCCATTATAAGAATGGTGGTGCCATTTGTTGAGATGAGGAATATTAGAGAGAGAAATCCAAAAGCCAGCTTTTGAACACAGAAAATTTGAGATGGCATTAGCCTTCCAACTGAGATATTACAAGCTGGAGTTCAGAGAGTGATGGGGGTATAAATTTGGGCAGCAGCAGCTTAGAAACTTGATATATATTGATAAGAAAGACAAGAAACTGGGCCTTGAGGAATATTCATAGATTAGAGCAAAATCTTACAAATCAGACTGAGAGCCGGTGGGCTAGGAGGAAAACCAAGAGAATGGGAAGACAAGAGAGATTTTCAAAAAAGATAGCAATCAATAGTTTCCATTGGTTCTGATAAGTTTACTAAGGTAAGAATTGGCTGTTGAGTTTAGCAAAGGGGATTCTGTTGATTTTGATAAGTGATTTCTCTGTAATGGTAGTAAAAGTGTGATTAAAGTAAGTCCAAGAGATAATAATGGAGGAAAAGAAGAGAAGTGTGTGGAAATAGCAAGTATAGACCTGCTTTAGAGCAGTTTTGTAATAAGTTTGAATAGAAATGAGGTGATGGCCAAAGGGAGCTTTGGCAAGGAAACTAACGATGCAGGATATGTAAGTACAGGGGCATTTTCATTTGGGAAAACCTTCCATTTCAGTCTTTTTAAGGCCTTACTCTTGGGCTTGTCGGAACCCCCAGAAATGCTCTTCTTAAATCACCTGTGAAACAGATAATCTTAGCAACCAGTATTTTGGGAACCCAGTGAAAGAAGGCTGATGGGGTTGACAAAATGAGGGCCCCTAAAAGCATCTACATTCTAACCCCTGAAATCTGTGAATATGTTATCTTAAATAGGAAAGGGGTCTTTGCAGATACATTAAGGTAAGCATCTTGAGATGGGAAGATTGTCCTGGATCATCTGGTTGGGAACAAACAAGAGTCGTTTAAAGTGGAAGGGGAACTGGGAAAGGGAAAGCAGAAAATGTGACTACAGAAGACAAGGCACAGAGAAATAACAAGGCTGCTGACTTGGAAGACAGAGAAAAGGGGTCATGGTCCCAAGGAATGTGGGGGGCTTCTAGAACCTGGAAGAGGGAAGAGGGTGATCCTCCTCTAGAGCCTGCAGAAAGGAATGCAGTCCTGCCAGAGCACTGACATCAGCCTAGTGAGTTCCATGTAGGATTTCTATACTATAAAATTGTAAACTAATAAATGTGCATGTTTAAGTCACTAAGTTAGTGGTAATTTTTCCAATAAGCTAACTTTCACTTAAACCCTATTTTAGTATGATATCCCTATCCTTAATTGGGCCACGTGTTCCTAACCCAAAGACCCATTTTGTGACCCTTGCCAGATGATAAACCTTCACTTACCTGTGGGGGCGGGAATGCGGCCATCACCTAGCTCTGTGAGGTGGGGAAGGCGATCTGAGGGCTTCGGTACTTCTCAAACTGGAGGATTTATTGAAAGTATGTTTTTCAGGCCCACCTTCATCGACATTTCCAGAGGTGTTTGGTGCCACAAATTCCTGAATTTTTCATGTGTTCTGATGTGTAAATGGAGTGACTTTCTTTGTTTTCCCATGAAGCCTTAGTCATCCCGTTTCTTAGTATGCTAAGTCAGTTAACACTAGCCCATCTATTTTCCATTCATTGCCCTTTCCTCTCCCATGTTCTTTGTCCTTGTGGGATAATACCTTTCCTTCCCCACCCCACCCCCTTTTCTTCCTTTTTGTAATAAGCTCCTTGACTATTCTTCTTGTGGCATATTGGGAGTGAACAGAGACTAATGCTTATGGTCAACTGGACATCATTGACCAGAAGTATTACCTCCTCCTTTTCAATGAAATAATAAAAGGACATCAATTGAGAATATGCAGCCAAGAAGGAAAGCAACTTCCAGGTTTTAAGTTTGACCAGGGAAGACATTAAAGCCATCTCGCAGTCCCTCCTTCCACAACTGACTATGAGCACAGGAGAAATGAAAGGCCATAGATGACTCTCTGCCTCACCTCCTTGCAGTAGAAGGCATTACTTACATCTCCTCTCTGTTAACCTGCTTCATACAATGTTAATTTTTTATTACTTTATACCTCATAAAGCTTTTTTTGTACCAGATGGTAGGCTACTTTGCAGTTTTCCTGAATTTAAAAAAAAAATGGTGGTCTACATAAAAGAAACTCCTAATGTAGGATAATTCATCCCAGCATAGTATGATTTGAGGAGCACCGAAATCTCTCCAGCACAACCCTCTTAAATGCTTATTCCTTGGCTGTGGCTTTGTGCCGGAAATCACCAGATCAGCAAATAGCACCATTTATCTCATCATCATTGTCATTTTCACTTTCACTTTGATCATTACCACTGAAATAACATGCAATCTTGTCTGTCTTTTTTTTCCCGCAACTCTGTACCCAATTACCCAGGGAAGGGCATGGTGCGTAGTAAGCCCCCCAAAATGTTTACTAGATGAATCGTTATTAACAAATAATAAGTTTGTATCCCAGTATCAGCAAAGGAGGCTTGTGTATAGCCAGCCTTTATTAAATATTTTTGAAAAAACAGTTTAAATATAAACTTCCGAGATACAATGTAAATGCAGAGAAATAGCCACATCATAGGGTACAGCTCCATGCGTTTGCACAATAGGAACTCACCTGTGTAACCAACCCAGAAGCCGAAAAATAAAGTATCACCAGGACTACCTGAGCCCTGTCAGTCAGTAACCATTCCCCCAAGGGTGACTGCTCTCTGTCTTCTAACACCATAGATGAGTATTGCCTGTTTCTTAACTTCCTGTGAATGGAACGCTAGTCTGTGTTGTTTTGCGTCTAGCTTCTTTTGTTCAGCATTATAGTTGTAAGCTGCATTCATGTTCTTGCATGCAACAGTAGTTTATATATTCTCATCATTTTATAGCATTTAATTCAACAAGTTTCGTACAATATATTTATCTATTTTACTATTGCTGAATAGATATTTTAGATACTATGCTGCTGATTCTACTTTGGTGGATTTGAATAGTGGTGCTGTGAACATTTTCAGGCAGGTTTTTTTCCCTTTGGGTGGAGGTCTACATTTATACACATTTCTCTTGCATTTATAAATACAAGTGGAATTGTTGGGTCACATAGTGTGTATATATGTTTAGTTTTGATGGATAGTGCCAACTAGTTTGCCAAAGGATTTATGCTCCAACCAGCAGAGTGAGACGAGTTAGCATTGTTCCACATTGATGCCCACCCTTGATGTTTCCATGTTTTTGATTTAAGCCATTCTGGCAGGTATATATTAGTATAATAATTTGGTTTTAATTTGACTGAATCAACAGCATGATTATATACCTCATCTTCACCGACACTTACCTCAAAACCTAGAGTCAGCCGAGCAACTGCAGTGTGTGCAGTGATGCCGTGTGCTCAGTTGCTGCATGGAAACGCTTGCTTGTTGCCCTTTGGTTGACAATATGAAAAGTCCTTACTGAAATGCAGAAAATACCTGAAAGACAAACATGTTCAATTTCTTTCACATTACTCTGACGTGACCTTAAATGTACTGAGCAAAAACTAGGGCAGCTTAGATGCTGTGAGAGAGAAGTTAGGAAGTGTCTGAGTCACCGGAACTATGAAGGGTCTGGCTATTACAAAAGTCATGGATTTATTCAGAAGAGAGCCTTCAAGATTGGTTGTAATAAAAAGAAAACTCACCATGGGCTGAACCTGCGTAACTCTGTTGTAAGTAGTCTCTTTAGATGGAGAGTTTCTCAAGGATGACACTTGTCTCTAGGCTTCCCCTGCTCTGCTGATTAAAGGGCTCTGCCCTGAGTCAGTCACTCAGTAGAGCCTGACTGGCTGAAGGAGGAATGTTGTTTTCTCCTGGTTTCTCTACTGGTCTTGTTTTCTGTTTAACTGTCTTTTAAGGGTAAGTAATTATGAGACATCACTATTTTAAATTTAGTCCTCACTGTTTTAATGATCAAGGATGCCTGTGCTCTTGCCCTGCAGATGTGTGAGCGCTGCTGCTGGTGAAGGTGGAGTGGTGGAGAACAGCCTGTGCGACCAGCATGACGTTCCCCCGGAAAGCCAGTCCTGCTCTCTGCCATGTCCCGGGGAATGTGTCATGTCCGAGTGGGGACCTTGGAGCAGATGCCCACAGGTAATTTTTCTTTCCTTGTCAACGCCCTCATCCTCCAGGGCTGCCCTCACTGCTGTTCTTGACACTTTCACACTGCTGCTCTCCAAAGCCTTTCTTCCCAGAACATGGGAAAGTGATTTTGCCTAAGAAAGAAAGAAAAAAATGTCAGCAGCTAAGACTGAGCAATTTAAAAAGCCGGTGCTTCTGTTAAGGCCTTTATCGTGGGAACATGGACAAGGAAAATGAGCCTGTAATGATGATGCGAGGATTCGAATGCATGCCCATTGTTAAAGGGGCTTCTTTTTAATCTGCTGGTTCTGTTCCGTTTTTATCTTGGCAGAATCAGTATGTCTTAGGAGCTCAACAGCACTGTGTGATTCAGCTTCTATAGGGATGATGTTTTTGCCTTGTGCTATTTTCCCAAAGATGGGGTGTTCTTCTGCCATGCTCTTCTTCCAAAGCTGACCCAAAAAACCCTTTTATAAAGTCTGAAGTATTTGCCTTTTTCTTCTTTTTAAGAAGAAAAAAAATAGAAACATAACAGGAGTATGGCAAAATAATTATTCTTCCAGTAGCATGGTTCAACTTAATATTCTCAGAAGATAAAGTTGGATATTTTAGACTTACATTTTTGCCTAAAGTGCTAAAAAAGAAAATGAGAATAAGGAACATATTATATGGCTCCAGACATTGGGAAGGAAAGAATTAGAATACTTTGATTTTAGTGGTGATACTGACAGTTTGTGAAAACATGAAAAATCTGTATGGAAATGGAAAATATTTTTGAAATCAGTTAATATCCTACATTTGTAGTTTTTACTTACTGATTTCCTATTAGTTATTGCAGATTTATTTTGATGTTTCTATAATTCCATTCCTGAAAGAGATTTTCCTTTGTTCTTATTATTATTTGTTGCATTTTTCTTTGGGGATAGGACAGTACAATATTAAGATGACAAGGCATCAATGAATCGTGATTTGTAAGGATGAAATGCTTGTCCTACTAAGTCATTTATTTTGTGCCTAACTTGAATATAATGAAAATTTACATTTCATGAGCACTTATGTTGTGCAAGGCACATGTAAGAATTCTTCTGTTTAGTCCTTGCACGAATCCTACTAAGTACATACCGTCATCAGCCCCATTGTACAGCTAAATAAACTGATTCTCAGAAAGGCTAAGTAGTTTGCACTACTTACATCACTTAATAAGCCATGGAGCTGGGAATGAGCCTTATCCTGTCTGATGGAACCAGTGCCTTTGGTCTCACATCCTTGGCTCAGTTACCTTAGAAGCAATGTAGATTTACACTCAGTAGCTCTCTTTCTTTAAGATGCAACATTTATTTTAGGAACAAAGCTAATTATTTTAGCAGTCTGTATGATTATTTCATGACTGAGTATGTACATTCATACTTTAGAAAGCATGGTAGCATACACTATTAATCAACTTGCAGAAAAATTTGCAACCTGAAGAAGTGTAAGTAATTGTAGAGGTCATTCTCTTCCTCACTTCTTTTTTTCTAATTTGCTCACAGAAGACTCCATTAAACTGTAATCACTTTGCAATCAAAATGTTGCCCTCTTAAGTCCAGGGATCTGGCTGCAAAAGCTAAAATGTTTGTCCTAGGAGCATTTTATATGATGTTGTGATAGCTTGGCATCCTGTGTTTACCCCTTCAGGCTTCTTAGAGACAGTTGTCTTTAAGGTTTGCTCTTCTAAACATAATCATTCTATTTTTGGAGTGTTGAGGAACTGGAGCGAGAGAAAATACTTTAACCTCCTTTCATGTGTCTGGAAGATGACACAGATAGTTATTCGCCTGCCAGCATGAAGCAGAGGGGTTGTTTCTGCAACTGCTTATATTCCTTCTGAGTTCCATACTAATAATAATAGCTCTGATGCCAACAACAATAGCTGTCATTGAGCACATCTTAGGTAACTGGCGCTGTGCTGGAGTTTCATAGCTACACTTTGCTATGATATTAGAACACCTTCATCCATGGGCGCTCAGGTCACACAATGGCCTTCTTTCTCAGATGCACACTGCTCTCAGGTGTAAATGAAGACTTTAAAATGAAGGGAAAAAAAAGATAATCAGGGCTCATGCCTGATTATTTTCCCCATCTCCAGATACGCTGCGTCATTTTAATAAATTGCAGCATCTTAGCATAGTGCCCCAACATCACGGAGCTTAAGCACCACTTGATGGTGATGATAATTGTGATTATAGCAGAGTTAGCAAGCTGGATCTGTGTGCTTGAAGTGTAATTAGCGCTTCAATGTGCATTTTCTGAGAAAAAAGGAAACAGTTGTTGTATAATTTTTCTGTATGCTGTGTGCTGATTCGTGGATTCTAAATATTGGCCATTATTTTACCAAATTCTCCTTTGACAGTCTGCAGTGTGACATGTTAATGAAACCAATTCACTGTTACTGTCTCTTCTTCTTTTTCTTCCCAGGGCAGCTCTTTAGAGCCAAACATATAAATAAGTTCAAAAACAAACAGAATATTTCTGAGACAAACATATGTCTCTCTTATATACCCATAAAATGCTCTGAAATGTATATTTTGATTTAGCTATAAAAACGTTACTTAACATGTAATAAGCTTAATAATGGTTTTAAACATGGTTAAGTAAATAGACATGGTAGGTAATGAAGAGAAACTTAGCAAAACCAGTTAATCAGTTTAAAATATGTCTTGAGTTCCTGTGTGTGTCCTACACTCTGAGGCCAGACGTCTGTACCCGACCATCAGTGCTCCGAGGAGTGCGCAGTTCTAAGGATCTTTTATACGTACATACTGTGTAGGTGTCGCATTCAAAGCTGATGAGCAGAGTTTATTAGTTCACACAGTGTTCACCAACAAAACGGTAGGCGCTACGGAAAATAATTTGAAATGCACTTTCTGAGTTAGTGATTTTCACCCAGCTCCTCCACCCCAGCCCAGAAATTCTGTCAGTACATTTGGGGCGGTTCCCATGAATTTATGTTTCTAACAACTTTCCAACTGATGCTGATTCTCCTCTTCTGGGGACACCCTTTGAGTCACAGTGCTTTTGGTCATTATCTCTAAGTCATGTTCTTTCTCAATCTCACTTTAATCACAGTTTTTTTTTTCTTGATCTTATTTATTTGGGGGGGAAATGGCATTTTTAAAATTCATTTTCATCGAGTTTTTGAGATAGAATTGCCATATAGCAGTATATAAGTTTAAGGCACATTGAATAATGATTTGACTTATATATATTCATGAAATGATTAGTGCAGTAAGTTTAGTGAACATCCATCTCATGTAAGTACAAAATTTAAAAAGAAAATTTCCCTCGTGTAATGAGGACTCCTAGGATTTACTCTGTTCACAACTTTCATATATAACATACAGCAGTGTTAATTATATTTATCATGTTGTACATTACATCCCTAGTACTTATTTATTTATCTGAGAATTGGAAGTTTATTCCTTTTGACTCCATTCCCTCTCCACCCACCCCCACCTCTGGTAACCACAAATCTGATCTCTTTTTCTATGAGTTTGTTTGTTTGGTTTTGAAGTATTACTGACCTACAACATTGTTAGCACCTGTCACACAACGTGATTTGCTGACTATTGAATAAACACCTAGTATTATGTGGAAGCTTAGCTTATATTTGCAGATGCTTTTCCACCTGCTAGACAATGTGCTTAGCACTTAAATTATTTCACTGACATTGCATAGTGTGACTATGAAACAGATACTATCACCCCCACTATGTAGAGATGAGTAAACTGAGTCTCAGAGAGGTTAGGAACCTGTTGCTTTTAAAAAGCTAGAGTCAGAGTGACTACATTAGCACAGGAAGTCTATACCCTCCTACCCAGTGCAGGAGAAATAGAAGCCACACTTCCTATAAATCTGTTGTCTCCTGTTCTGGCTTACTTTGCTTATTAGATTTGCGAAGGAAGATACGTCTAAACTGAGCAGTCTACCTCATTTGAATAGTTTGCCACAGAAGAGAGGGAAGTCATGAAAGAGGGTGTGAGCTGATGCCCTGGGAAGCCTGGGGGCCTTGTGATGTAGCCAAGTTACTTACACTTCTGAGTTGTAGGTTCCTTATCAGGAACATATGGATAGTGACGTCTGCTCTTCCAGATTGCTCAAGGACTAGAGATAATATCTTTAAAATGAACAGCACAGCACAGCACAGAGAATTACTTAATCCAGGTTTGTTTGAAAAAAAAAAAAGAGGAGGAAGGAGAAGAGAAGCGAATCAAAATTCCCCTTTACATTGCTTATAGTATTGTCAGGAACCAGAAGGCAGCTGTATATTTTCTAAGACATGCATGAAATCTCCCTTCCCCCACACAGAATGAGTTAATACTTGGTCTTACAAAAATAAAATGTCACCTTTGCTGAAAAATGACTTCTGCCTAATATAATGGTCACCCCCAAAAGCAAGGCATCCGAAAGATGACTTTGAATGAATGGCTTACTGCACGTAGAGTGATTGCCAATTGCAAACTGTAACAAAGAGTTAAACACGACAGAGGCATTAAAAATTGTAATGGGACCATTTGAACTGTACTGGGGAAAACTAGACTGTAAATGGATCTAGTAAAAACAAACACAATTCAAGGCAGAATTTGAAGGAAATGGAAAACTATGTGTTTCACTTATTTTCATGTTCTTGTTTTTTCTTGTTCCCGTAACACATGCACACACACATCAATATATATGTATAATTTTTAACTCCAATATGCTCACTTCTGTAGAATTTTTTAATGTGAGAGGAAGCTGATGGAATTATACATAAAAGGCCTTTTGCAATAATCACTTTTTAAAGGCGTGTATGTACACATACACAGATGTATGTGTACAGACATGTACAGATATATATTTAATAATTGTTTATTACCAAATATTCCTCTTTTGTCTGTCTAAATTTTTCCAGTTTTTATCCTTACCCTTCATACTACAAAATTATGCTGATGGGTATTCATAGACTCTTTAGGCGAGGTTTATAAATTTCTGAATTC